GAATTACGTTAAAAATAAAAACAAAACTTGACAAATAATATAATCTTCATCACTTGATCATTTGCAATACCAACAACTGAAATGGACAGCGCATGTGACAAGAAGTGAAAATAATAATATAATCAAGAGGTTGATTTGGGATATTACAGCAAACGAAAGGTTTGGAAGGAAAATCCTATCAGTAGTAGAAAGTGCTATAACAGTTAATGGGCTTCAGAAGTCTAATTCCTTGCAGAACTGATTTAAGAAAAAGTTTTTATAAATTCTAACAGAAAATAATACTAACTGTTCGGTCAATAAATCTCAAATGTTTTCTGTATGGAAAGGATTATTGTCATCATTACTGTTAAATAATTTATTCGATTAATTAGTTAGTATCATTAGAATCCTGTTTTGAAAATGATATTAGGTGTGTGAGAAATCGATTGAATAGATATTAGAAAAGTATCTTTTGGAAAACAAATAATTAAAATGGTTGCAAAATTTTACACGTACACAATATGTTCGTAATACCAAATTATTTTCCCACTTTTTGTTGTAACCTAGAAAAGTTTACTGAATATGGAATTACCAAAACGGAAATTGGAAATGAAATGGTAAATCTTATTACATCAACAAAATACAATACTCGTCAGCGGCGTGAAATAGGTAAACCACTGCTAGTGTTGGACTATTAAACAGCATATTACTCCCACTTACAATAGTGTCCAACGTATTTATGAGGATTGGGACATACCTATTAGTGTTCATAGTTACATTATATAACACTTTTAATCTAGTGATAATGACTGGAGGACGAGTTAGACCCAGGTTCCTCGGCTTTCGATTCGATTTCTTTGATTAAAGTTTATATCGTACGGCTCAAGTTGAATGGGGTTAGAAACTTGCAAGTGATGAAAAACCCCTACTGAGAAAATCAGCTTTCTTTCTTCCAGACTCAGTGCGAACTCCGAGTTAGACACCAGTGGAAATTTCGTAACTCTTTCAGCCACGAGAGACAGGTCAGCTGGTGCCTTTATCCTGAATTAATAAAACAATGGCGAAGCCAACATTTAAATATGCTAACGTAAAGAAACGAAAAGAATACAGTTTTCGGCAAAACGAGCTTGCATTTTGATCCTCGGAGTGGAAATCACGTTAATATCCATAGCTTTCAGAAACTGACCCAACAAAGATGATCTCTCATAGCATTTGACCTTGAGGTGCACATTCAAATAAAGACTGAAAATTAACTGAATCTCAAAACTTGTATCCGCCATCAGGTCATCTGAACAAAAACCACAATCAATGGTAATATTAATATTAGTCATTTCTTTATAAAGAAACATTCGCCATTCTTTGATCGAGCAGCCAATGCGACAGTCGGTTGAAATTTATAAATTCAGTCTATCCAAACACTTGTTCAAGAAAATAGGTTTCTCACGTAAACTAACATTTTTTTTAAATCAATTCACCCCCCCCCCAAGCAAGGTAATAAGCTACTCGGTGCAAAAGAGAATGAAAAATCCTTAGAAGGAACCAGAAACATAATCTTAAACAGGAAACAAGGAATAAACATCTATTCCTAAGCAAAAGACTAGGAAGGAGTGTGAACCGGGCGATAGGAGAACTACCTATACTAAGGAAAATAAATAATTAAATTTTAGAGTTTATGCGGAGACGCTAGAAGTATAGACTTTTATAAGCAACCGGAAATCTAATCCTAAACAAGTAACAAGGGATAAACACCTACACCTGATCAAAAGACCGAAAAAGAGTTTGAACCGAACGATAGGCGAATCTATCTACTCCTATTGAGGTAAAAAAAAAATAAGTAAATAAATAGTAAATAAAATATCATAGTATATGAGGAGACGTTAGACATTTACTGTTGAAGTAGATTTTAGAAGGAACCGGAAACCCAATCCTAAACAGAAAACAAAGGATAAACCTCTACTCCTGTTCAAAAGACCAGGAAAGCATGTGCACTGGACGGTAGGCGAACCTATCTACTCCTATTGACTGCTCATATATATTTCCAGTATTGACAGGGGTCTCTTTTCTAACCTTTCGTAGTGTGGAATGTGAACATCTTATGTCATTTTCTCACCGAGTTACATATGCTATTTATTTTAGTTGTTGCTGTTGTTGAACATCCACAAGTTATGTGTTTTCTGTTTTGTTTTGTTTTTTGTTTTTTGGGGGGGTTGATTTTTTTGTTTTGTTTTTTTTTTGTACAGTTCTTTGCTTGGGATTCTATATCGCCAGTTCACGAGATGTGAAAAAGATGGCCTTCCCTAAGACCTATATATTTCATTCACTCGAAGCCATTTTTATTCATTGAAAGTGATTGTAAATAATTTAGATATTTCTAAACGCACGAGATTCTAATGCTTGTCTCCAGCTGACGAGTCTATTTTTTAAGTTTATGCTTTAGTTTTGTAGCATCTTTGTGATGTTGAACGAAACTAGCTAACCAGAAACAAGAGGATAATAAAGGAAATTGGCAATGGTTGTCCAGTGGAAATTGAACAGAAAGAAAGCCTCTGAGGAACGGTAAGCATAATTCCGGAAGCAATAAATACATAAAGTCAGAGGACAATTTCATGATACTTAAGACTGCTTGGCTGCTGCCTGATATCCATGTTTTATTACCAGATATGAAAGATTTTATCTGAAATAATAATAATAATAATAATAATAATAATAATAATGATAAGAATAATAATAATGTATCGAGAAAAACCTTCAAAATATTATCAAAATACAAGGATTTTAAAGTGATTTAAAGAATGCAGCACATGAAGAAAAAACTAATTACAGCTGTAGCTTGAACTTTGGTTTTGATTTGGAAAGTTTCTGATTGGCTTATTGATGGATCCCCTGTAGTGGCATAAGGAAATAGATAAAAAAAAAACTGATATGTACGGTAAAATGTTATGGTGCTATTTCTGACCTCAGCTCGAGAGGAAATGAGTATACGACAGAAATAAAATTAATTAATTAATTACTTAATTAATAATAATAATAATAATAATAATAATAATAATAATAGACATTATTATCAAAGACAGAAAAGAATGTTTTGCACACTCATTGACATGAACGTACCAGATGACAAAACATCACTGCGAAGGTTTTTGAAAAGCTAAGCAAACACAAAGACCCAGAGAAGGAAACAGAGAAACATGTGACATAAAATAAAACTAAAACTGTTCCTCTTTTGGTTGGAGCGTTGGGACTGATAAAAAAATGACCTCAAGAACAAATCAACAAAATCTCTGATACACCATCTCACCAGAAATGAAAAAAAAAACTTTTAACAAACACAGCCCATACCATGTGAAAAGCTTTGTCCATTTAATTCTTTTTAATAGCTGACTTCTGTTTAATTTCGTGGAAACAACAAAATATCACAATCTTCGCATACTGTAGGTCATCGGTTATGACCCTGCACCTGATTATAAAACAAATGCCAACAAATTCCAAGTCAAAAATAATTTTTTTAATAACTGTAATATAGATTTGAAGATCTTCAAAAATTATCAAAATACAAGGATTTTGAAGTGATTGTCAGAATTAGGTCCATAAAGAGATTTCTAATTCCTGGGTTTGATTTGGAAATGTTTTAGTAGCCTCATTAATGGGATCCCTGGCAACCGATATTTTAAAGAAATACGAAGGAAAATATTCTTCAAGACCAGATCACGCCACAGAAAGGGATTTATTTATGTAATAAAAGTATTTTTGTTTGACAAATACGTGTAGGAGAAAAACGATTGGTTTTGATTTCTGGCCTTAGATCTCTGATTGAGACCCGGAAAGAAATTAGTATACAATAGAAATCAAAGGAAATAATAATAATAATAATAATAATAATAATAATAATAATAATAATAAAGTGGAATTATAGATAGTATTTCAATGTGTATATGAAATACACCTTTCAATAATGGTCTAAAAAATTACCTTTCATATACCAGCAAAAATATAAATTAAAAATAATTTTATACAGGTTTCCTGACCATAATCCGCTGTAATTTTGTTTAATGGTTAATCTAGCAGAACATTATTATATCAATGGATTATATGCTCACTGGCATCCATCACAGTTGTAGCTTTGTATTAGACTAAGTTAAGCTTACTACATTGTATGAACGACCGTATGAATCCAACCCATGTTAGATCCTATCTATAATCATGTGGGAGACCATCCTGACTTTTCCAACTTGGAACCGCCATACCACGTACACATGGATGAATCGTCCTCATTCGCTTCGTATTCCTTTAATACAAAGTAAGTTTCATTTCCCAAGAAATGCTACTTTGTGAAATACACTCTCGGCAGGATGTTTTCCAGATCACTACAATCTTGACTCTTCAAGTTTATGGTTAACCGTTAACTTTCTTGCATAAAACCATAGACTTTACCTACGTTCATACAACCCAACATAAAAACGCTCTACCTTTAGTGGCTCTTGGGTCTTGTATTCGGTGAATATAAGTAAAAGGAAATGTCATTCAGGCTATAATTCATTGTGGAGACCAAATTTCGCTTGTACTGTCTATAGTTAGCAATGGCCAACTCGGTATCAGCATAAATATTACTCACAAAGTGGCGGTTCTAGGCAAGAGACATTTTGTTCTAAAGTAAGATATTTAGAATAATATGGATAGAACATGTGAACAATGAGGAAATTTTCGGTAAAATGGGAACAAAAAAAGTACTGCCTGATTCCTATCCATCTAGTTTGGTTTTAACTAAGCTTTCTGCTCTACAAACTTACATCAATCTGAATAAGATGGTTGAGATACCTAGGAAACGTAATGTGGAAAGACGGTATGGCAAATTCAAAAATCACAATACATATTGAAAGGAAGTAGGACAGAGGGGAACAGCTTATGATCTGCCTTATGAACTTGTGTCAATGGATGTCAAAGGAGACAATGAGAAGGATAATAAAAAGACAAATATTGATAAGAGCTATAAAGGATAGTAACTTGTAGAAAGCCATGATCGCTCACGGCTTAAAGGAATACAACACATGGAAGAAGGGTTGAAGAAGAAGAAGCATTGAAGAAGAAGAAGAAGCATTGAAGAAGAAGAAGAAGAAGAAGCATTGAAGAAGAAGAAGAAGAAGAAGAAGCATTGAAGAAGAAGAAGCATTGAAGAAGAAGAAGAAGAAGAAGAAGAAGAAGAAGAAATGAAAAAGAAGAAGAAGAAGAAGAAGAAGAAGAAGAAGAAGAAGAAGAAGAAGAAGAAGAAGAAATTGGCAGTCAACTAGACCACGTATAAAACTAAAATATTAAAAAAATGAAAATTACACGACAAAATGTACGTAATTGACGGTATGTGTCTCATCGCCAGTCATCGGAAACCAAGTATACTGTTTTATCACCAGCCATCATAACCATAATGAAAGTAGAAAAACAAAAAAAAAAATAACGTGAAATTACTCACACACGTAATAACGCGAAATACTCACACACGCACACACGTATATATATATATATATATATATATATATATATATATATATATATATATATATATATATATCACTGTTTTCTGTGGAATATTGAAAGAAGGAAATGATTTTATACAGACGAAAAAATGATTATATTTTTTTATTTTAATTAGAAAATTAAATGGAAAAATAATTTAATTTTAAGAGAGCAAATAAAATCCAACGAATGTCGTCGCTTTTGTTTTCGTCCGAGATCGATAAACTAAAATAATTCGAAAGAATACAATCATAATAATTCAGAATGTTTTGACACATCTCGACTAGTTTCAGTTGTAAGCATCGATATTTACTCCGCTTTAGCGAGTCGGGCACAAGACTGCAAACCAATTTACAAAGGCAATAACTTCGAGACGAACTTTAGAACTCGCAAACTCGTGGTCAAGTTGACTTTCGATTTTTACTCAAAAGCGTCAGAAACAATAGTATTTACTAAGATGAGATTAGATTTTATATCAGAAAATGGCAAACATTGGGGGGGTAGCGTTAAAATCCATGGGTTTTGTTGAGAAAGATTTTAATTTCTCATATATATATATATATATATATATATATATATATATATATATATATATATATATATATATATATATATATATCGGGTTCTAGAGCTGATGATGGTGAATTCGGGATTAGGAATACATTGTCACTCTATTATGACATTTGAAATCAGAAGAGTGAATTAAAAGTTGGGTTTTGACATAATTATTTAATTAGTTATCTAAACAGCTAATTTACACCCACAATACACACACACAAGAGGAAAATTATACTTAGTATTAGCCGACGTGTTTCATCATCCGACGAACTTTATCAGGGCAAATATAATTACTTTATTTTGCAACAAGTATTTATTTGACAGTTACTCAAAGTTTCTAAATTTAAAGACTCTCATAAATATTCATCAGGTAAACTGAAAAGTTTAGGTGTTAGATCTACGATTACGTCATCTAGCATCTTCGAAATGAAATTTTTAAATTTAAAGACGCTCGTAAATATTCAACAGGCTAACTTAAATGTCTGGGCATTTGGACCTTAGATTACGTCATGTGTCATCTTCGAAAAGAATTTTTAAAATTTAGAAACTGTCATAAATATTCATCAGGTTACGAACCACTTCTAAAAACACCCATAACAATAATAATTCAAAAGCAGGTGTATAAAAAAAATAATTTGCCTAGACTGTTCCTCACAATACATTGGGGAAAAATACAGAAATTTGAAAGAACATGTCTATGAACACAAAAGAGACCCTCATAAATAACAATTTAACAAATGCACTAGTCATACAGATTCGACCACAATTTTGATTTAAAAATGGCTCACTCATCAAAAGAGAGAGTAATTTACCCAGAAGGAAAATCCTCGAGAGTAACGCCATCGAATATTATCAAAATATCAATCTATACCCCGGCATTTTTTCTAATCACTCATTTCCTGAAGAAATTATTACCTTCCAAAGCCAACATACACAACAAATGTGTTGAAAAATCAAAGGAAAACGAATGAATTAATCATTTCAGCGTATGGAGATGCATAACACAAACATTCATTTCTTACCGCAGTCCAAACAATATTTTTTTTAAATTCTTCGTTTTCAAGTATACTAAATCTAAGGTCTAAATGCCTAGACACGAGTGTTTTTAAATTTCACAACTTTAAGTAACTGTCAGATAGATAATTGTTTTAAAATGAAATGATTACATTTGTCTTGCTAAAGTCCGTCGGATGAAGAAACGTGCCGGCTAAGACTAAGTAGAGTTTTCCTCTTGTCTTTTTGTTCAGTTTGTCTCTTCTACAGATATACTCCATCTGAGAATATTTACACACACACACATACACATACACACACACACACACACACACACACACACACATATATATATATATATATATATATATATATTGACGAAATAATGATGGAGATTATTGTCGAAAATTTCTGTCTTTGCTCTTCTTATTCTGGTGATGAATTGGGCATTCAAGAGAATTCCCAGATCGCAGTGTAGGCAGTGAAAGCACTGAATGAAATGATACTAAGATTGTGTTGTTTAATATAATGACATATCAACCCTATTGGGTTATTCAATTTCAGGTATAAGTCATAGGACAGAAATCACAACAAATTAATACGGAGGTAAGCATAGGTCCAGTTTACACTAGAGTCAAAATGTAGACTTAAGTCTGGTTTACACTAGAGACAAGAAGGTAAAAATAGACTCGGTTTGCACTTGAATCAAAAAGCGAGTCGGATTTGCACTAGAATAAAAAAGGTAGACATAGACCGAATTTATGCGAAAAAGATAAACAGTTCCGATTTGCACTTGAAGGATAAAGGTAAGCGCTGCTCCGCTTTTTACTCACGTCAAAAGTTATACCCAGATCCGGTTTTCAGATGTGTCAAAAAGATAGACTGTTCCGGTTTATACAAGTGTATAAAAATATAGTCACTGGACCAGTTTTTCACTGGAATAAAAATAGTAGAAACAAATCCGTTTATTACAAAAGTCACAAAGTTCGGCAGAAACTCACTAGAGTCAAAATAGTTTACGTTGGTTCGTATTATACGAGAATCTGCAAATATTCAATCAGAAGGCGGCTCATTTTGATGGCGATTTGCCCTTCTACAGAGGATAAAATCGGCGCCGACGCTGTAAGGTTGTTCTGAAGATAGATGACAGGATAGCTCACCGATATGGCACCATAGAAAAATATCCCAGTCCCAAGCAACACGTGGATAATTATCTTCCTCGAAAATGGAGACTATTTGTTGAGTGATTTGAACACAGGCCACTCGGTACAAATAGTAAACTAACTTGTAACCAATGATTTACGTCAATCGATGATTGCTCAATAATTTGGTTTATTCGAATCATTTTACTCGGTGTGGTGGGAAGTTGAGAAACGGTGTCGTTGCTGAAATCCATTTTCCATTTCGTCTGCTTTGATTAAAATATTGAAGTGTCTTTCGTCGATAAATCTCTGAGAGACACAGTCGACGAAAAGAAAAATTTCGAATCTAAATAAAAATAACATATTTGTTTCTGATGTAAGGCATGATCGATGTCTATCAGTCTCCTTATCACGGCGCTTATAATGTCTGTAATTAACATCGCGAGAGAGAAGTGGTTGTAATGGTTCCATTTTGAAAAATGCAGCAAGAGAGTTAAGATGGATAACGAATAAGATGAGAGAGTGGTAGAGACAGAGAAAGAAAAAGGTGGAAAGAAAGGAAATAAAAAAGGTGAATGAAGAAAGAAAGAAAGAAAGAAAGAAAGAAAAGCAACGGATTCGATTAAGTGATGAATAGAGAATAAATGAGAATGAAGATAATTGGTCAGTAAGAATAAAGAAAGAAACAAAAGAGAGCGAGAGAGAAAAGTGGAACTGCAAATGAGAAGAGAGGAAAACGATTTTAAATTTTTGTCAGAAAGAGAATTATTTTCCCAGCATATGGGAATAGATGTATGAATTTTGTTGAAAAAAAAGTTACACGGCATGACTTTGCTAGACACAGCTGACAGATCGGGGGCCAGAGGTTAAGGTCGGCTGTTAAAAGATGTCCGGCTTGACTATCTGCTGAGAGAAATTGTCGGACAAAATTTTGCCTGTGAACGAAAAAATTAAAAAGCAGATGACGTCAGATAGGCTGACATCACATAATGATATACTCTCAAAAGAGGAGAGGATCTTCCAAAATTGGAAATGGGAAATAGAAAACGAAAGAAAGAGACTGGTTGAATTTTGGGAGATTTGCATAAAACCCCACCTATTCGCCCGCACCACACCAGTTGAAAGGGACACCCATAAATACGAGTGCCCACGTGGGTCAAAGTTAGTTGGGGTCCGTTAGTCGGAGGAGTTGGAGTTAGATGTGGGGATGTGGGAGTTGCAGTCGAAGGCGGTCGGAGGAGTTAAGAGATTTCTGATATAACGCTGCTTACCAACCTAATGATAAGAATAATAGTAATTATTTGTAGCTGAAGAAAAACTCCGAAGAATAATCTTGTGCCATGCGTGAAAGTACAAACAATAGTACTTGGAGTTAAAAACAGTTGTTGATGAAGAAAACCTCCGACGAATAACCTTGTGCCGTCCGTGAAAGTACAAATCACAGTACGGGAAGATTCTTCAAAGAAGCTACACGCAGTTTTCGCCCGTTTTAACCCTTTTCGTCCGTACGCCATGTTAAATATTGTTACATCTCTCCCTTCACCTATTCTGTCATTTACCAGTAAATGACATTTCAAACTCCAACACAATTTATTTCATCCATGATTAATTCTGCTGCAGTTTTAGCTTTCTTATCGGGTACCGCAAATATTTTCGCCCAATTCGTTATCCAGTCAACAAAACTCACTATGTAAACCTCTGGAAGTTTTCTCATACGGTCCTGTCACATCCATGCTTATCTTCTCAAAGGGAAAATTTGGAATATCCATCTCTCTCAATGGTGCCAATTCCTGTCTTCTACTCTGCATTTGGCACACCATACAGCCATTAACGTAATCATTAACCTCATTATACAGCGTAGGCCAGTAATAATTTCTTCCTATTAATTCATGGGTTTTATCAATTCCCATATGGCCTAGCTTCTCATGACAGTGTTCCAATATCTTCAGCCTTAGATTCTTGGGTATATATAATCTGGATCTAATTTCTTCATCTCTCCCTGAAAGATAATACAGCTTCCGTTTATGTATCGTATACTTGGAGGTTTCTCCTGCCTCCACTTTCTCTCTGATGGTAGCTATTTCTTTGTCTACCTGTTCCTTTTCAACTTGTTCTATCCATTGGGGGTCAGTTATTACTTGTATACTTTCCTCCTCATCTCTATTTCTAACACAGGGCGATCCTTCAACCTATAGGAGTTGATTACCCCTATTTGATATGCTCTGTTTTCTATCCCCGGCTCTACTCTCACAGATTCCTCTTCTAACTTTTGGGGTATTCTAGAGAGTAAATCTGCACAGGTGTTACCTTTCCCTGCGAGGTATTCTATCTTACAGTTCTATCCACTTAATTTCAGCGCCCACTGCTGTATCTACTTGTTTGCCCAATCTGTTTCCAGCAAATACTGGAGAGGTTTATGGTCAGTCTTTATGGTAAACACAGCTCCACCTAAATAATAATCCAGCTTTTGGAGGGCATACATAATAGCATACGCCTCCCTTTCTATCACTGGCCATCTCTGGTGTGTCTCTGAGAGCTTAATGGATAGAAAGTATATCGGTACTTCCTCTGGTATACCAGGCACTGGACCATCCTTATCAGGACATGGCTGAGTACGGACTGCTCCTATACATCGCTCACTAGCGTCCGTGTATAGTATTTGGTTTGCTGAGATCTGGGTATGTCAGCAAGGGAACATCAGTTAGTTGTTCTTTCAACATATCGAAGGCCTTTTGGCAGTCTTCTGTCCATTTAAATTTCGCGTACTTTTTCGTTAAGGTTATCAAGGGAGTTGCTATCTTAGAAAATGCTGGGATAAAACGTCTGAAATATCCCATTGCCTCGTACCTGTCTCACTCTTTGGCTGAGGCATTTCTCGTATCACTTTTACTTTATCCATGTCAGGCTTAATTCCTTCATCACTCACTATAAAGCCTAGGTACTTGGTTTCACCTCTTACAAACTGGTAATTGGGCAGTTTCAACTTCAACCCGCGCCTTCTCAATCGTCCAAAGACTTGTCTGAGGTGGTCAAAATGTTGTTCTGGTGTCCCAGAGAATAACAAAATATCGTCCAGGTAGGCCATAGCAAAACTCTCAATTCTTTCCAGCACTATTGACATTAATTGTTGAAAAATCCCAAGTGCATTGGCCAGGCCAAATGGCATGACTTTGAATTGGAACAGGCCCATATGAAATGCAAATGTAGCCTTTTCCCTATCAGTCTCATGAAGAGCTACCTGCCAATACCCGGACCTCAGATCCATCCCCGATTCCTCAGTTTCATATACTCTTTTTCCCTCAATAACGACACCGACGCTCCAGTGTCTATTAAGGCTTTCACCACCGACCACCATTCACTACCTCACAAGAGAGCTCTCTCTCTCTCTCTCTCCTGTGTCAGCAAGGAGAATATCTTAGTTCTTTTTCTCCTTCGTTGGTGTTTTTCCATCCACACAGTCATGGGTGCTGGTATTAGTAGTCCTTCATTATTGTTACTACAGGGTCTTCCTTTTCTTTTGTCTCTATATTGGGGCTCTACAAACCGAATCTTTCTTGATTCTGTCAGTCTAATTCTGTAGAGGCAGTTTCTCTCCAGGTAACCTGGCTTCCCACAAAACCATCACATTCTACTTGGGCAATTTGCTGCAAAAATGACCCACTTGCCTGCACTCCCAACAACACATTCTTCTTCTATTTATACGGGCCACCCACCCTCTTATTTCTGGGGTAACCCTTTGGCATTTCCCTGGTTCGACTTTCCAGGTCCCATCTTTCTTCTCTCGTATCGGTGGGGCTCCCTTCTTTAATTCGCACCATTTGGCCACATGCCCGCTACCTCCGCACTTCGTGTATATTTCCTCCTCATGATCTGGGGACAGCCCCCACCTTGTGGGGCAGTCTGCCGCACGGTGGCCCTTATAATGGCACTTCCAGCACACCAGGCCATATCTACCCGGTGTGAGTTTATAAAACCCGTGCTTTAGGGACCACACCTTTCTCTCGGGGTCCTCCTACCATTCCTCTTCTTCTTCCTTGACCCATCTGCTCAACACTGGGGAATTCTTTTTGCTTCCTGGTATGTTATCCCTTCTCTACCTGGGTTTCTTTCTTCCGTCCCTCTGCCTATCTGCCTCCCGACCTAAATCCTGTGCCCTGCCACTCTTAACCTTATTCCAGCCCCCACCCCTGGCTCTGTTTGCTGTTGCCAACCTAACGGGACCTTCTTTCAGCACGGATACGCTCGTCTTGGAGCGCTCCAACATACAGGTCTGCCAGCTGGACCTGAATTGCTGCATTTTCTCTAACTTCTTCGGGGAAAGCCAGAGAGGCTAGTATCTCCGTTCTTTTCCCAATTCCTCTGGGCCAGTTTCATGAGGCTTCTCATGGCCTCTATTTCTGTTCCCTCATCTGCATACTCCGGCATCAAGCGTTCCTCTAACCTCCTCCACGTCAAATGTGGATCTCTTTCTAATAATTTGCCTATAAACTCTGACGGTGCTCCTGTTGCAGCGTCGAACGCAACACACACCGTCTCTCTTTCTGTGAATTCATAGATTAATTGGCTCTTCTTAACCGCCACTAGCCAGCCACTCAGTTCTCTCGCATCTCCGCCAAAACTCGGAAATCTGGGCCCTCCTAGTAGACGCCTCAACTCAATGGACATGCGTTACACCTCGTCGTTCTCTACCTCTGCCATCCAAATTTCCTCTTCCCCGTGGTCGGACATTTAATAATTGAGAGAAACAACAGTTTATAAACGAAGGAAATCGATTGCGAAAATGGCAAGCAACAACAAATCCAAAGAAAAATTTCAGGGAGAAACCAAAAAGTGTCTTACCTGTCACCTGGTTCTGGGTTGGTCTCACTCCGCCCACTGGACAACGAAAATTTTTTCTTTCTTTTTTTTTTCTATGAGCGTTTCGAACCTAATGTTCAAAATGACCAAAGTCCCTTCGGTTCTCGCTCTCTCCTTGATGCAGTGGTCTCTCGGAGTCGATTCCGTTGGTCACCACACCAGTCTATGTGGTCATTCAGTGTCACGTCCTGTGGCACGGCAACCATTTATGACAGATGTTCAGGACCACGGACTGGTCACAGCACCAAATATGACGTTGTTCAAGGCCACGGCCTGGTCACATCACCAATTATGACGTATTCCTGGAGCTGCAGCCCGCCCGCAGCGACCAATTATAAGACGGCGTTCCGGGTCCGGTCTGCTTCGGTCACCAGGTATGGCGGTACTCAGGGTCAATCCCGGTCTGCTCGCTTGGTCAGGATCGATCCCGGTATCAGAGAGCAAGCCGTCAGCCCACTCGTCAGTCGTTGATGGCGTTTTACACAGCAGCTGACCTCAAAGTTGACATCTTCAACTGTGACCTCTCTTACCCACGTTGTGATTTTGATCTTAAGAGGGTCAAGCCGAATTTCCACTGGGGTATCTTAACCACGCTAAACCAAAGAGTTGAAAACGTGCATACAAAATTGAAAAATAAAATGGACGACGCCTGAATAAGTCACGATATGATGTTTATATCAGAATAAAAAGAATATTTACAGTTCTTTCTTTGTTCTTTTACTTTTTTTCCCAACCCGTTCTAATAATTGGCGACGGAACGAAAATTTCGGGTAGCTTCTTTGAAGAATCTTCACGTACTGTGATTTGTACTTTCACGGACGGCACAAGATTATTCGTCGAAGTTTTTCTTCAGCTACAAATAATTACTATTATTCTTATCATTAGGTTGGTAAGCGGCGTTATATCAGAAACCTCTTAACTCCTCCGACCGCCTCCGACTGCAACTCCCACATCCAACTCCAACTCCTCCGACTAACGGACCCTAACTAACTTTGGCCCACGTGGGCACTCGTATTTATGGGTGTCCCTTTCAACTGGTGTGGTGCGGGCGAATAGGTGGGGGTTTATGCAAATCTCCCAAAATTCAACCAGTCTCTTTCTTTCGTTTTCTATTTCACATTTCCAATTTTGGAAGATCCTCTCCTCTTTCGAGAGTATACCATTATATGATATCAGCCTATCTGACGTCATCTTCTGCTTTTTAATTTTTTCGTTCACGGGCAAAATTT